ACTGAGGTTGTGACTGGGGGTGGGGTTATGTTAATTATTCTTCAATTTCCTTTGAATTTTTCACTTGTTCAGTGCATTGTGCTATTTGAGGGCTATTTTGGACTTGGTCTTTGTTGGGAATCCAGGCATCCTCATCCATCTCCCAGTTTCCAGTACAATTTGTGTTCTTCTTCATTCATTGTTCTATTTCAGGGATATTATCCACTTTGTCTTCATTGCCACTCCAGGAAACCTCTTTCATCTCCCAGTCACTGTTCAATTAGTCTTCTTCAGTAGCAGAGTCTCCCATCAACATGTCTTCTTTTAAAGAAAGGATTTTGAATGTGACAATAAAATGAATAGAGTGTGACATACTTTAAAATTGTTCTTCTTGCATGTGTCCATCAGTGCATGTCGAGGATGAGCTTGGATTGGAATTGGTATCAGACATTTCAGTGTCAGCCCAATTTTGTTCTTCTTCAGTTCTATCTTCATCTATTTCAGAGTAGTTGTCCACTTCGTCTTCATCACCACTCCAGTAAACCACATCCATGTCCTGGTTGCCGTTCATTTCGTATTCTTCTGACGCAAATAACACTGCCAACATATTGTCTTCTTCTTCAGTGGCAGGATTTCCAGCCAACATGTCTTCATTTTCTTCCGCAGAGCCGCCAGCCAACATGTCTTCCTCTTCCATAACAGCATCGCCTGCCTGCTCATTTTCATTTGCAGTAACAGAGTCTTCTGATGAACATAAGGCAACAGATTCCTGTCCTGAGTCATTGCTTTCCTTTTCAGTGTCCAGGTGGTTTCCCAAATCATCACTGTTGATTTCACCTTGTTGGGGCCATTGAGATCCTATTAATCAAACATCAGAATATTGTGACCTCTGTTGGATGTGTGGGCTGCTGCTCACTGGCTGGTGGATTGGATCTTTCTTCAGATGTCTGTAATGACACATCAAATCAGCTACAATCCAGTGGTCTTTGAAAATATAGGAAAAGTACTTGCCATTTTCCTAGAGTGACTTTGTGATATATTTTCCAAGAAGTGCAAAGCTAGTGAGATTGCAAGTTGTCAATGATTACACCACCAAAGGGCAATTTGTTGAAATGATTTGGAATTAGGGTGGTATGTGTTAAACAGAAGTGGATGAGTGTTAAAGTGAGAGTTGGTTATGTATAATTCAGCCTTGGTTAAAGCTTACCAGTTTCAGGAGTGATGTTAACCAAGTGTTTGGTCCCGGAGATGATGTTTTCTTCACTAGATGTTGGATGGGAAGATAAGCTTGGGTGAAAGAGCTCACCTTTTAAGATGAGGAACTCAGGACTTGAAGCATAATTACCCTAACCACAATTATGCAAAGCTGTGCCCCAGACCCACAGACATATTGGGTTTTGAATACACATATGCAAAGTTGTGACCCAGACCCACAGATTTATCCCTCTTTGCATGCATGCAAATATGTACAGCTGTGCCTCAGACCCACAGGTACATTGCTTGTTATATGTTTTCATGGTGACAAAACATTAGTCAATTGTAATTAAGATGATTCATGAGACATTAAATTAGCAATTTGTGAAGGTTTGATGAGGGATGTTGTTTCAATAACTGAGCAGAGGAATTGGATGGCATTCACAAACAGCCAGAAGGAATAGCAAACAGATGAAAACAAGTTGGAGGAATCACAAGATTGAGAAGTGAAAAGAATCATGCATTAGGAAATGGATCTATGATCTCAAAGTGTTGAGGTAGATTAACTATGAAATAGACTGGTGTTGGCTGTCCTGCTGGCACATTGCCTGGCATGTATTCACGTGCATGACCCCGCAGGTCCGGAGGTTTATAGCTGACAACAAACAAGATCACACCAAAGCGGTTGGCCAACAGTTGAAGTGCCATCGAATCTCCCCATACTCCAAGCTGTCCCATTTTGTTGATCCAACGGTCCACGTGCTCGTCTTGAGCATCTCGACCTAGGTAATTCTTGATTAATCCTCTTTGGGATTTTGAATACTTGTGGATTTCGTCTCTGAGTTTATCGTGGTCGTCTTGATGGCCATTTTGCCACTGAGAGAAAGCCCTGAACAGGCAATTACCATCACTACCTATGAAACCTGTTGTGTATCTGATTGTTAGGTTGGATTCCACAATGTATTCCTGGGCCTTCTTCAACCCTACTGTGGGTATGCAGTACAGGTTGGGCTGTTCCACGTATGTTGCTATATCGGACTTGATGCGATCCCAGGTTTCCTGTGGACTCAGTCGCCTTCCCTGGGAAATAATTTCTATCTCCATCTCGATCTCGATCTAGGGATGGCAGAATCAGATCAACTGGGGAAACAATTTATAAAGAACCACTAGAAATGGAACTCACTTCTTCAGAGCTGCTGTCTCCAGTGAGGTCAATTGGGGCTTCCTGGGGTGGTTCCTGCAAAAATTTACCAAATTAGCCATTGGAAGTGACCAAAGACCATCAAGAAATCTGCCTTGCCTGGTTTGGGTGACTGTCAGCAGCTAGATCAGTTGCGTGATAAGTTGTGGTATCCTAGTGATGTTGTGTGGTGAGAAGAGATTGAGAGTGAGCAAGCAAGCCACAAAAAAACAAATAGAATAATTCCACCCTGACCTCTTTTGTATTGCTATCACTGGATAAGTCAATGTCATTTGAGCTTGGACTATGGTGGGTGACATCTGGTATTCTCCAAGTCAAAAGCAGACAAACAAAGTAAGCCTATTATCTCTAGGAAGATTCTCCTGGAGTGTATGCATAACTTACCACCATGTGTAGATCCTCCTCCATCTCCCTCTGGGTGGTGTGCCAAGGGCATGAGGGAATTGACCTGGAGCAAACACAAAGTTCCATGCAGCTTGTTATCTTCTAATCTGACTTTCACATGTTGTTGATGATTGACTCACTATTCTGATTGCAGGAGCTTGCACATCATCCTCCATTGTCAGGTCAATGGCCATGTGTCTTGGAACTTCAACATCTACTTGAGTGAGATCCACGACTACACAAGGTGGGACATCTTTGGCCTCTGAGTCAACTTGGGACTCCTTGGGGGTTTTCTGTGGAGATGAAACATGTCAGTTTGAATTCCCTGCTTGAGATCACATTTCAAAAACAAGTGTGGAACATACCTGAGCAGATTGATCCTCAGACCTGACTTGTTTTCCAGTGTTAACCAATGTGGGTTTGCCTGCTGCAACCAAGTTGGTCTGTTGTTCACATGGTTGCAAAAATCATTCAGCAAGAAGGTATCCTCTGAGAGTCTAAACATTTTTTGCTTACAGGGATATTGGATGCCATGAAGGGGGATGTTGATCAGTAGAAGGCTGGTGGTAGATTTGGTTTTGTGGGTGTGCAAAGGGGGAAGGATTCAAGCTGAGAAGATGAAACTTTACTTGGGAGGTGGTTGGGCTGATGGATAATGATGCACAGATGGGAATGAGGTGCTGGGAGGGATGATAAAGCAGTCCAACAGGTCCTATTTATATTATGTCTCTACCCTGTGTAGGGTCCACTTGAAGCCTGACACACTTGGCTAATTGGGGTTCCCCTTCAGCCCACAACCCTTTGTTACTTGTTCCTTCCCTTCAGGGAAGAAAGACCCTTGGTCACTTGTTCCTTCCCTTCAGGGAAGACAGACCCTTGGTTACTTGTTCCATCCCTGCAGCCAAGAAGAACCCTTGGTTACTTCCTACTAGACCCCTCTTCATTCTAGAACCCTTGGCATCTAATTGTATCACCCCAGCCAGGTCAGAGGCATACTTATTACCATTTGGAACCTTGGATAACTTGCAAGCTTGAGTTCAGCATGCAGAAAGGAAATCAACAGTCAAATTCATTTCACTCTTTCAATTGTATGAAGTGCTGCAGGAGCTGCAGGAGATAAAGGATTGAGGTTGAATGAGGGTGTGGCTAAACAGGCTGTTGCAAGAGGGTTTTAGGCAGGTGATTGTCATACTACTTCTTAGACTTTGCAGATAGTGCCTTTCTGAAACCTGAGGCAAGCAGGTTGGTCACAGGGGACACTGGAGCTGGAAAGTAATTAAGATTTGGACCAGGGTATGTCAGGGCCAACATCTTGACAAAAACCAAGTTTTGGAAGTGAAATGATATCTCACCTTTGACAACAATTGTGTTTTGGTCTGCTTGTTGTTTGGCCAAACATACTGTATCAGGTGTTTGACTCCTACACTTGGTGTCTGGTGCCATTCCTTGTGAAAGGTCATTGAGAACCATGAGTTATTGTAACCTTCATTGAGGCATTTTAGTAGAATGTGTGCTCCTGACCTTCTGGGTTCCCAGGTCCCTTGGGAGTAAGTCCATCTGGTCCAGTTGGGAATCCAAGGGAGCATTTATCCTGTGTTTTGAAAATCAGAACCCCAGACAAATGAGCATGAAGGTGTGCATTTTGGGATCTGTTTAGATAGTTATGGAGCTTACTACAACCCTGTCTAACCCAGAGGCCTGTTGGGCATCCTTGGTGGCACTGGGGAGCTCAGAACAAGAGGTCTTGATGGATGGATCCTGTAGTTCAGACATTGAACATCAAGTGGTCTTTCCTAGGTTAAAGTTTGAGGAGTCAACTTACACCAATTTTAGCCAGCAATGAGTTGTCAGTGGATTTACTGCTGGTATCTATTTCAGGGTCTGCTACAGTATCTTTCAATTGGACAAGAAACAAAATAAGTCAGTTGGGTATTCATTCATAAATTTCACAAGGGTGTCTTCTCCTGAACCTTCTAATTTTTCCAAGGCCTTGGACTGAATTTGGTCACATCCAGATGGGGAAGACCTAGTGGAATCTTGCTGTGATTGAAAAGAAGTTAGAGACAAGCACTGCAATTTTTTTTGAATAAATGGTGATCTCACGGCAATGGCCTCAGACTTTGAGGGCTGCTGAGAATCCTTGAGGATTGTCCCTGGGATGGGCAATTCTGAATCAGAGCTCTTGGAAGTTGGATCCTGTGGTTGGGAAGTTGAATGTCAGGTGTGCCATCTTGGATTACAGTTCAAACAGACAACTGACAATGATACTGGCTGGGAAATCCGGATCAGTTGGATTCCTGCTGGCATCTGGGTTGGGTTCCATGGAGGCACCTTTTAATTGGACAAGAAACAACAGAGGTCAGTTCAATGTCCATTCATACATTTCACAAGCATGTTGTCTCCTGAACCTTCCAATTTTTCCAGGGCCTTGGACTGAATTCCAACACATCCAGTTGGGGAAGGCCTAGTGGAATCTTGCTGTGATTGAAAAGAAGTGAGACACAAGCACTGCAATTTTTTTGAATAAATGGTGAACTCACAGCAATTGCCTCAGACTCTGAGGGCTGCTGAGAATCCTTGAGGATTATCCCTGGGATGGGCAATTCTGAATCAGAGCTCTTGGAGGTTGGATCCTGTGGTTGGGAAGTTGGATGTCAGGTGTGCCATCTTGGATTACTGTTTGAACAGACAACTGACAGTGATGCTGGCTGGGAAATCCGGATCAGTTGGATTCCTGCTGGCATCTGGGTTGGGTTCCATGGAGGTACCTTTCAATTGGACAAGAAACAGCAGAAGTCAGTTGGATATTCATTCATACATTTCACAAGCATGTTGTCTCCTGAACCTTCCATTTTTTCCAGAGTCTGGGACTGGATTCCAACACATCCACTTAGGGAAGGCCTAGTGGAACCTTGCTGTATGAGGAAATAAATTAGAGACAAGCCAAGTAATTTCTTTTGCATAAATGGTGAACTCACAGCAATTGCTCCTGACTCTGAGGGCTGCTGAGCATCCTTGAAGCTTGTCCTTGGGTTGGGGAATTCTATATCAGAACTACAATCAACAGCATTGGAAGTATTGTCATCACTATCAATAACCTGCAAGAGATGCTCAGTAAAAGTTCATGGATGATCAGTTCTGGGAAAATGTTAGGTTGATTTTTAGATGACAGTTACTTGAATTGCTTACCAATGGGTTGCCCTCTTGTCCAGGTCTATTGAAAGCAGGATAACTGGTGAGGGTGGTTTGCTTCATGTTTTTCTTGATCCCCCTTTGCCTCTTCACATGCCATGGAACTCTTTGCCACTCCAGATGTTCAAGATGATCACGGATTTTTGGCGTGCAAACAGGGGGCAGAGAATCTGGGCAGGTGCTCTACTTCAAAATGTCAGCCCAATGTATGATTATGCCTCAGGGGAAGTTACTTACTGAGCTTGTGCCAGACTTCTTGCTGTGGGGGGCCTTGTGGTTTTTCTTTGGATTGGAGTTGGCAGATGTAGCTACCTTGCCCAGTGTAGGTGCTGGAGTTTTTTTTTTCATGGCTGTGTGGAAGGAGGAAGGGGAACAGAAAAAATGGGGGAAGAGGAAGTGAAAAGGAGGTGAGTGGCTCCTTATATGTTGCAGAGAAATCCTTGATGGATTGGGTATCAGATAGTATTTCCCAATCCAGCAGGGGCTGTGTCCCAATTGGGACTACCTTTCTTGGTTGGGTGTGGGCAAGTTGTGGGCTGAACTATGTGTATTTAATTCTGTATGCTTATCAGGTGGTAACATAGAGGGTGAAAGGGTTACAATAGCAGCTGGTACCTAATTATTAGAATAGAAATATACAACTATTTCTGGTCTACTCAGGATCACAAAACCTTACTCTGCCTTCATCCATCACAATCACACCTTAACCCTAACCCTCATCTTCCTCACCTGGAGCATCCTCATCTTCCTCACCTGGAGCATCCTCATCCTCTCCATCCTCTTCTGATCCCTCCTCATCATCATCACCTGATAGACTCTTACCATCCAGTTCATCTGTCTCATCTTCATCAGAGTCATCAGTCTCAGGGTCCTCCTCATCCTCCCCTCTTCTTGGACTCGTCACACCCATGTTCGAAAACCGATCCCGTTGCAATCTGGCGTACTTTTGAGGAGTGAGGAACAACCTCTTGACTCTGGATTGCCAAGTTTGGAGGTAGGATTCGTCATACTTTGGAGTCGGAGCTGGACCACCTGTTGAGGAGAGAGTATCGCCTGGCTTCAGGATTTCTGAAAAGAAATCCTTGATCACCAAGGGCGCCAGGACATCCGGCTGTAAGCGGGCCTTGCAGATTGGAACTGAAGCCCACCAGTCAATTCTGGGATTTCCCAGGCCGATCTCGATGAGCAGTTGGATCAAGTAGTCATTCAGCTGTTCCCAAGGTCGGTGGATTGCTTCGTGCGTTGTTTTTCGAGTACTGCCATTGGTTTTAATCAGAGGTGAACGGATGGACAAGCCGTTGAGAGACATTTCTTGAGCCAACATCATCAGGCTGGTGAGGTCCTGGAAGTTGAACCTTTGTCGATTCATGTGGCAATGAAACCATCCGGCGACTCCAAAGTTGAGGAAGAGGACCAACGATGAGCAGCTCTTGAGTCGCTTGGCGTGCAAATCATGCTTGGCATTCTTGGAGGCACTGGCATCCTCGCCGTTCTTGGAGGCACTGGCACGTTGCTCGACTTTGCGCGGTGCTTTATGGCCGTGACGTTTACGGGTAAAAGTGTCGTAAGATTCGTGCATGATCGATCCGCCATGGAGCATCTCCCAACATCGTTTCATTAAAAAGTCCATACCGTCCCTGTGAGCTTTGTGATGCTGGTCTGGTTTATTCTTTGGTTCGTACTTGTCCACCTGATCAGACAGCCACACCCCGACACGTCCTAAGCCCTTGCATTCAATTTCTTGTCGAGTGTCTTCATGACTGGCTTGGGGCAAGTCGCCATCGTCAGGCTGCAGATAACTTGTTGAGTCCATGACAAGCTGATGGATCCTCAGTGTTGCCTCCTTGAGTGGTTGTTTGAAGTCGAATATGTTTTGATGTCCTTTTTCTGAAGAACGGCACATCATTGACTGCAGTGCAGTCCACCCCCCAGCTCGATCCTTGCCTAACAGCTCGTCGATGCCGTGTATCAACACATCCATCTGGACATGTTTTCTGTTGAAGAAGGGGTGGGGCCAAGGTAGCTGGAATAATCGTGGACCTGAAAGATGTTCCACAAGTCTGAATTAGCCAGTGTTTGCAAGTGATTGATTAAATGGGCAGCCAACTTACATGAATTGACAATGGAGAAGAAACCAGGCTTGTGGATATCTGATACGTACTCTGACCAGAGTTCTGTCGATGTGGCTAGAACTTCCCGTGTTTTTGGATTGGTGGTTTGGCTTGGTTGTAGGCATTGGAGACTTGTGGCCCGGTGGACTTGAGTGTGAAAGATTGACGGCATAATCTCTTGAAGCATGGGCATCATGTACGTTGGAGCATCACCCTTCTTCTGTCGGATGGAATGAAGGATGTTGATGTGAGCTGCTTCACGCCACAAATACTCAGGCTTGAGCAGAACTGTAGACATGAAGTTGTCAGATATTGGAAATGAATCAACATGATGAAAAAGCACTAGGACTTACGTGTGAGATTGATGGGTTCACCCAAGAAGTCAAAGTTTGACTGATTTACAGACACATCCTCTGATTCTGAGGGCTTTGCTGGCTTTGGCCTCTTGCGCGGCACTGATGGGCCTCCAGAAACCTGACTAGTTCGCTTCCTGGAATTGAGAGCCGCTTCACGGGCTGGCCGACCATCATTCGCTTTATCCGGCTGGTCGGGCGTGGGTTCATCCTGCTGGTCTGGCGTGGTTTCATCCTGCTGGTCTGGCGTGGTTTCATCCGGCTGGTCTGGCGTGGGTTCATCCTCTTCTTGTGGAACCCTGGTCAAGCTAGAAGACAGGTTGTTAGACTGGGATGTGCTGGGAGCTGACTTGTTCAATTCAGTTGATTGGGCAGGCAAGTCTTTTTGAGGAGTGCTGGTGTTGTTGGTGTTTGATTGACCTAGCTGAGTGGAATTGGACGACGGCTCATCAGCGAGAGAGGGAGATATGTTTGTTTCGGACTGATTTGTGTCGGTGGTTGGAGCAGTTGAGTCTTTTGCAGGATTGCTGGAGATCTTGGTGTTGGTTGGCAATTTTGCTCCACGTTGTTGGCTGGAGTCCGAGCCCAGCTCGCCAGAGAGAGAATCGCTAGCCGATGATTGGTTTGTATCGGTGGTTTGGGCCGGCAAGTCTTTTTGAGGATGGTTCGTCTTCTCAGTTTGTTGGCTTGAATTAGAAGACAACATGTTGGCAGGAGAAGTGCTAGCAGAAGACTGGTTTGTGTCGGTGGTTCGAGCAGTTGACAACTCATCCAGGATAGAAACACCAGCAGATGACTGGTCCGCGTCCGAGGTTTGAGCAGGCAAGTCTTTTTGAGGACTGCTTGTCTTCTCCGTGTTGGCTGCTTCATGCCCAAGTTGTTGGCTTGATTCCGAAGACAACGTGTCGGCAAGAGGAGCATCGCCAGAGAGAGAATCGCTAGCCCGATGATTGGTTTGTATCGGTGGTTTGGGCCCGGCAAGTCTTTTTTGAGGATGGCTTGTCTTCTCAGTTTGTTGGCTTGAATTGGAAGACAACGTGTCGGCAGGAGGAGCGCTGGCGGACAACGGGTTTGTGTCGGTGGTTCGAGCAGTTGACAACTCATCCAGGATAGAAACACCAGCAGATGACTGGTCCGCGTCCGAGGTTTGAGCAGGCAAGTCTTGTTGGGGACTGCTTGTCTTCTCCGTGTTGGCTGCTTCATGCCCAAGTTGGTTGGCAATTTTGCTCCACGTTGTTGGCTGGCGTTCGAGCCCAGCTCGCCAGAGAGAGAATCGCTAGCCGATGATTGGTTTGTATTGGTGGTTTGGGCCGGCAAGTCTTTTTGAGGATGGTTCGTCTTCTCAGTTTGTTGGCTTGAATTAGAAGACAACATGTTGGCAGGAGAAGTGCTAGCAGAAGACTGGTTTGTGTCGGTGGTTCGAGCAGTTGACAACTCATCCAGGATAGAAACACCAGCAGATGACTGGTCCGCGTCCGAGGTTTGAGCAGGCAAGTCTTTTTGAGGACTGCTTGTCTTCTCCGTGTTGGCTGCTTCATGCCCAAGTTGTTGGCTTGATTCCGAAGACAACGTGTCGGCAAGAGGAGCATCGCCAGAGAGAGAATCGCTAGCCGATGATTGGTTTGTATCGGTGGTTTGGGCCGGCAAGTCTTTTTGAGGATGGCTTGTCTTCTCAGTTTGTTGGCTTGAATTGGAAGACAACGTGTCGGCAGGAGGAGCGCTGGCGGACAACGGGTTTGTGTCGGTGGTTCGAGCAGTTGACAACTCATCCAGGATAGAAACACCAGCAGATGACTGGTCCGCGTCCGAGGTTTGAGCAGGCAAGTCTTGTTGGGGACTGCTTGTCTTCTCCGTGTTGGCTGCTTCATGCCCAAGTTGTTGGCTTGATTCCGAAGACAACGTGTCAGCGAGAGGAGCATCGCCAGAGAGAGAATCGCTAGCCGATGATTGGTTTGTATTGGTGGTTTGGGCCGGCAAGTCTTTTTGAGGATGGTTCGTCTTCTCAGTTTGTTGGCTTGAATTGGAAGACAACATGTTGGCAGGAGAAGTGCTAGCAGAAGACTGGTTTGTGTCGGTGGTTCGAGCAGTTGACAACTCATCCAGGATAGAAACACCAGCAGATGACTGGTCCGCGTCCGAGGTTTGAGCAGGCAAGTCTTTTTGAGGACTGCTTGTCTTCTCCGTGTTGGCTGCTTCATGCCCAAGTTGTTGGCTTGATTCCGAAGACAACGTGTCAGCGAGAGGAGCATCGCCAGAGAGAGAATCGCTAGCCGATGATTGGTTTGTATCGGTGGTTTGGGCCGGCAAGTCTTTTTGAGGATGGTTCGTCTTCTCAGTTTGTTGGCTTGAATTAGAAGACAACATGTTGGCAGGAGAAGTGCTAGCAGAAGACTGGTTTGTGTCGGTGGTTGGAGCAGTTGAAAACTCATCCAGGATAGAAACACCAGCAGATGACTGGTCCGAGTCCGAGGTTTGAGCAGGCAAGTCTTTTTGAGGACTGCTTGTCTTCTGCGCATTGGTTGCTTCATGGTGGCTCAAATCAGAAGACAGTGGGTCGGAGAGAGAATCAACAGCCAATGACAGGTTGGTGTCCGTGGTTTGGCGAGGCGAGTCTTTTTGACAGTCAGCTTCCTTCTCATTGTTGGTTGACAGAGAATCACTAGCCAATGACAGGTTGGTGTCAGCGGTTTGGTGAGGTGAGTCTTTTTGAAAATCAGCGGCCTTCTTGTTGTTGGTTGCGAGAGAATCACTAGCCGATGAGTGTTGTTGACTCGGATCAGAGGACGGCTTTACAAGAAGAGAAGCCATAACAGAAGACGGTTTGCCGGAGAGATGCGCACTAGCAGTTATCAAGAGATCCTCTCTTGCCCGGATACGCTTAACAAGAGGTCCGGTTACCGGTTCAGTCGGACCTGCTGAGCTCTCAGAAAGCAATGTGCGCTTGACTCGAAGTGCACCATTGATCATTTTGGTGATTGGATTAGTGCGGGCCTGGCAGTCGTCAAGCTCAGTAAAACGATTGATGGGGCAAGGCGTCGAGTTTGAAGGAGTCGGTGACATGGACATTCTCAAACGGTCGGTTGGGCTGGCCATTGCATTTGAAGGAGTGGCTGACAAGGACTTTCGAAAACGGGTGGTCGAGCAAGCTATTCCATTCAAAGGAGAGGCTGACAAGGAAATTGGCTCAGCGTGCCTCCAAAACTGACCGAGTTGGTCGGGATTTTTTGTTCGATTAAGGATGTTGAAGACCTCTTCGACATTGATGGAGTGGACTTGGGTTGGATTTCTTGAATCTCGAGTGGTGTTTTCAGTGATTGGGTTGGACACACTGACAGGTCGTCTCACAACTGCCATCGACAAGCAGGAGTTTTTTGGCGTAGTTGGCTTTGATTCAATCGTAGGGTTGAATTTTACGTTGGAGACGGGAGTTTTGATAGCAGACGGAATGTCAATGGGCTCAGATATGTATGCCTGCTTAGAAGATTCTGCCTCTTCTATCTTCCTTTTTCCTTCTGCAACAAGTGCCTGAAGGGCATCTAGATACATCTGATGGCAAACATCGAAATTTGTGGCACAGCCAGAATACAAGCGGTGAGCTCTGCCCAAGTACTGGATTCTTGCTTGCACTGTATTGGATGGGTTGGAAATTTTACATCAGTGTTTGTCATGGCAAGGGAGTTATGTTTAATGTAACCAATGGGACTTACTGTCTTCTACCATATTGCGTGCATCCTTGATGGTTTTGGCTGAACCTGCAGGAGGTTCCTCGGGGGCGGGCGTAGCAGGTTGTGTGCCTAGCGGAACGATTGGGTTCTTCTTCAATTCCCCAGGTGCCTGTATGTAGATAGAGTGGCAGGTTGCAAGGGAATGGTATGTCAATTACATGTATTCTCATGAGGATGTGGTTGGGGGTTACTTACACGATACGGTTCTTGAGATGACCAGAAGGTTAAAGGCGAACGAGCAGCTGTCGAAGACTGTATACCAGTCGGGGCAGTGTCCCTCATGGGAGTGGATTCTGGGGTGAAGATGGTCATGCTGGGTTGTGATGGAGGATAACTGGTTTAGGGGTCAATTGGGGTCAGCAATGGCAAGTTCAATGAAATACTACCAAGTGGAAAAGTGACAAGATCACTTACCGTCTTTTGGGTTGTCAGTCAATGGCAGGGGGACTCCTGGCGGTCGAAAATGAAGGGTGAAGGATTGTGCTGTCAAAGTTAGATGAGGGGGGCACCAGTGGCAGTTGTCAGGAAGAGTTCCAGTATCTGTCTGGCAGGCGAGCCAATTTGGATGGGGTAGGTGCTCACCAGTAATGATGCGTGGCGGTAACAAGTGTTCCGTGGGGGGGGATGATCACAGGGGAAAATTCAGGTGGATACGGGTGAGGTAATTTTCAACAGGCAGTTCAGAACAGTCTATTCAGAGAAGAGAGAGCATTAGTCTCCTTTGCATGAAAACAGCTGTTCAAAGCTGCAGGAGGTGAATGGAGAGGATAGGATGGAAATTTTTGGGGACAACAGGATTGATGTGGGTACAAGACTTGCCAGTTGTGGTGCGAAAATACCAGCTCCTTGTTTGGTCTGATAGGCTGAGGAGTTGAATGGTCTGCTTTCGGAGTTGTAGATTTGATAGTGATGAGCAGAGGTGACGGTGTGGTTGCACGACGACCAGGGGACAAATGGCAGGGACTAGAAGCTTTGGGGCACCGGGGTTGAGTCGGAATGATGGAACAGATCTGGGAAGCCGGTTGTGGTGCGAAAACAGAAGCCAACAGTTAGAGCATGAGGAGGCGAAGTGAGAAATGAAAGTTGGGATGTGCTGACATACTGATGGGGTAAGCTGACGGAGTCCAAGCTAAACCGGTGATCTGAATTGGGAACCTGGATAGATGGATGGTCTACGGAGGCGGTGGTAGTGAGGTTATCAGGAAAGGTCACAAGGTGAGGTTGTCGCGCGACGACCTGAAGCAGTATGGGAAGGACTGGAGAGGCACCTTGACACACGAGGTCGGGGTTGAATTTCAACAGATGAGGAGTTGGTCGCAAGACAGTGGCAGGAAAGTTAGCTCGTGGATGGTCTGCTGAGGCGGTTGAGGTTGTTAGCAAAGGTTACCGGTGAGGTCGTTAGCAAAGGTTACAAGGTGAGGTTGTCGCGCGACGACCTAAGAAAATATGGGGAGGACTTGAGAGTAGCTTTGACATACGAGGTGAGAGTTCAGTTTGACCTGATGAAGATTTACTCGCAAGACGATGGCAGAAAAGTGAGTTTAGTCAAGTCGTTTGTATGTGATTCATGGGCAGACAACGAAAGTGGAGGGTGATGGTGAGGTTATTAGCAATGGTGAAGAGGTGAGGTTTTCGCGTGACGACCTGAGGAAATTGAATGGGAAGGAGTTGATAGGAACTTTGACGTACGGGGTTGGGTTTTCTACTGATGAGGAGTTAGTGGCAAGACGCTGGCCGAAGTTAGTTTGGTCGGGTACTGCCTGGTGGTCGGAGTCGTAATGTTGTGCAGAACCTGAGGAGGTGGTTGTTGCGCGACGACCGAAGTCCAGATGCGAAGCCCAGATAGTCGAATTCTTCAGCGGTGGTTAGTTCGTTGAGTGAATTGGATAGAGGAGGAAGGAGAGCAGGCCGAGGGGAGAATGGCAGTGGATGTGTCAGCCTAGTCTGTACCAGTTATACATAATGCTGCTTTGGGCTTTTTGGAATGTTACAGTTGATGTTTCAAGATGTAAACCGACCACTGCGAGAAATGTGGGGAGGGCTTGAGAGAAGCTTTGACATACCAGGTGAGCCGTGAGGCGTTCAGTTTGACCTGATAGAGATTCAGTCGCAAAACGATGGCAGAAAAGTGAGTTGGGTCGAGTGGTTTGTATGTGATTCGTGGGCAGAAGACGACAGTAGAAAGCGATGGTGAGGTTATTAGCAAGGCTGAAGAGGTGGGGTCGTCGCGCGCCGACCTGAGGAGAAATGATTGGGAAGGATTTGATAGAACATTTGACATACGAGGTTGAGTTGTCAACGGATGAGGAGTTAGTGGCAAGAGGCAGAAGGTAGTTTGGTCGAGCGGTTTGCGTTTGATGGTTTGGCAGACAAAAGGTGGTGGTCGGAGTCGTAGTGATGTGCAGAACCTGAGGGGTGGTTGTCGCGCGTCGACCAGAAAAGTGAGTTTAGTCGAGTGGTTTGTATGTGATTTGTGGGCAGAAGACGACAGTGGAAAGCGATGGTGAGGTAATTAGCAAGGCTGAAGAGGCGGGGTCGTCGCGCAACGACCTGAGGAGAAATGATTGGGAAGGATTTGATAGAAACTTTGACGTACGGGGTGGGGTTGTCAACGGATGAAGAGTTGATGGCAAGAGTCAGAAGGTAGTTTGGTCAAGCGGTTTGCGTTTGGTGGTTTGGCAGACGAAAGACGGTGGTCGAGTCGTAATGATGTGCAGAACCTGAGCAGGTGGTTGTCGTGCGTCGACCAAAGCAGGGAGTCGAATTCTTCAGTCGTAGTTAGTTCTTGGAGTGAATTGCATGGAGGTGGTCGTCGCGCGTCGACCAAAGCCCAGATATGTAGTATGTATTTGGAATCTTCAGTTTAGCGTTGAGTGAAATGGATAGAGGAGGATGGAGATCAGGCCGGGGGGAGAATGGCAGTGGATGTGTCAGCCTATGTACATACATAGCCTGTACCGGTTATGCATGATGCTGCTTTGGGTGTTTTAATCAGTTTTAATCCCTTTTTGGACTGTTACAGTTTATAACATGTAACCCTAACCCGCGGTGCCTGTCCGTCCGTGGCAGCGGTTACTACTTGTTCCACCTTGAGAATTGGGCTAACCACAAACTAACCCGATCCCTTCTCTTTTCCCTAGCAAGCTGCTTCAACCTATCGATAAATTCAAAAGATTCCAGGTTGGTCGATTTCTTGGGAGAGCAACTCAATTCGATCTCATTCACTCTGTGGTTTACAAATTGCTTCGGAATGCAACGATAGGATGACCTTGTAGGATTGACTCTACCCCTCTGATACCAAGCTCTGCCGTACTAATGCTGATCAACTCATTCTGTTGGTTGTTTATTGGTGTAGCATCAAGTCGACCACCGCGAGTTCAGCCCATCCCCATCCGTCCTTAAGGCTTCAAATCAAAAAGAAGATCTCCACATAGCAATGGTCAACGCGTGGTGTGTTGTCTTGTCAGTTTGACCCTCACCCCATCTTCGCGCAAGGATCTTCCCTTATGGCATTCTCTCTTGGCCAGAACGAGTTGGAGGCAACCTACCAGGCAGCAGCTGTGTATGATACATTCAGAGCGGCTGCTGCTCAAGGTCATGTGCATCTTCTCTTGTTCTTGATTTGAATCGTCAGGATCCTTTTCTGGTGAGCAAACAGACAACTTCCTCCCTCCCCCCACCCCCTCTTTCCATCTGACACATACCCTAACCCAATCTTTGTCAGCAACGATTCATCGGCAGCAACTAACTACACACCCTCCAGTTGTGCTCGGGTGGTAAGCATCCTTTATTAGTCTTCAGTATAATCATTGCTCATCCACTGAGCTCGATCTACTACATTCTAATCTAGGTCGCCATCCCATCCTCCGTGATCCCACTACCCGGCTCACCTGATCTTATCCTACCCTTGATGTCAGACAATCGACTCAGACTTATCAACCATACCATCTTCCCAAAAAATTGTCGATCATCCGACTCGAAACCTACCATTCAAGCCTCAAACAATCCATCTCAGGCTAAAATCGCCGCATCACTCCTCGATCTATCCCAATCTTTATACCCAACACCAACAATCCTTCAACTCAACCGCCGTCCATCAGCTTCGTCGTCAGAAACTTCACCATTTCTATCCTCTTCCCTCCCACCCATCCGCACCCGATCATCACTTAGATTTCTCTTTGGCCTCACACCCCAGACAGCTGCTTTGAACGTTCAGAGATTCGATGCTGGTCAGCAAACAGACAATATCTCATCTATGCTCTGCCGGATAGATCCATCAGTCACGAAACCCATCCATTGCATTTTAATTTGAAGTTCTTCTCATGAGGCTGGCGGCCAGTTTGCTCTCCAGTCGTGCTCGGGTGGTAAGCATTATTTATCCGTCTATAGTCTAATCATTGCTAACCATTGGTCATTACGTAGATTCCTTCCAGCCCTCGAACCCAAGACAGCCGCTTTGAACGTTGATGGGCTACTAATTACACTCCCATCACCAAACCTGCTCCTAAACTGAACTGTATGTACCCAGGAAGGAGTATTTATCGATCTCGGGTCTGATGATTGCTGACTTGGCTTGCAACTCCCTCAGTCTTCTCTTTGATTTCTCGTAGCAAAGGTCGGCAGGGACTAACTACACACGTAACGTGCTGAGCCAAGACTCGATGGCTTCAGGTTCCCTTCTATGTGGTAGGTTCCTGTTAGCGGCACTCAGGCACAAACGCAAACTTAACTGTACTGATCACGATCCTGCATGTCTCAGTTTTCCTCTTTACCTTGGATCTTTTTTCCAGTGCTACTCTTGATTCACCAGAGGTAACTCCATAGCTTGACGTGCGATGACACTTCCATAACACTCAATATCCATTCCTGTCCAGCCCAATACCCCTTTGAACTGAACTTCCCTTTGAATTTCCTTCCATTACTCTGCCCTGCCATCAACCCTAACCCAATAACCTTGTGGAAACCAAATTTGTTCTCAAACTCACTTTCAAGAAATTGAAATTGAGGCTAGTATCTTTCCCCTGATGAAATTTTCTCATTGTAATTTTCAGCAGTGATGTCCTCACCCTTTCTCAACAGACTTTTAAAGAAATGTTGTCACTCAATGCCTGTTTCAACAGATTTTTCTGCCAGAGTTGATCCATGGGCAGCTCAAGATCCATTTTGAAGGTATTGTCCTGCATTATATGTCCAACTCTATTCCTCTTGTCACAGATTTTTTTGTCTGAGCCAAAAACACATGCACAATGGTGGGTCATGAGTCAAGCCATTTGTTGGAGAAATGAATTCAGTTGCTGACTTTCTGATCAGTA